TCTAATACAAGTGGCTGAGGGGTCCAAAGACAATCATTATAAAAAAAAAAAAAACACAAAACAACAGGACGGACTTTTATGTGCTTGGCAGTGCCAAGATGTAAACACGATGTTTGAAGAGCCACAAGTCGCCAAAGTGTTGTCAATCCTCTGTGAATTCTCATGTTTCTCAGATATTTTTTGCGCTATAGGTTGTCATTTTAAAGGTTAGACTTCTTGTAAAAAAAAAAAAAAGTTAATTTGAAGGTTATTGAGTGCAAAACACATTTCCTGCAAACACAACAAAGATTTTCCAAGATTGTAACTTTTTCTTGCTCTAAACCTTTTTTTTTTTTTTTTTGCTCTTTCTTTGCTGATGTTGATCTGAAAACAATATGGAAAAAGGAAAATATGTTAGAGTGGAGCACCATCTACTGGTCAAAACAGGAAAACCTTTATTTTTACTCTCCTAAAAAGAGGACTAATGACTCACAATGCTTTCTGGTCTTTACAAAATGTATTTTATGCCATTACCTGCTATGCTAAATGTTTATTAAATAGGATAAAATGAACGTGCATCTCCACATTTGAAAAGTTTTTTTAAGATATGGCCCTAATAAGACCTGGTACATTACTAACACATGTCCCGGCTGATTTGGTCAAAATATTTTCCTTATAACTCTTGTTTGTAAAGTATATAATCAGATGATTAAACATGATGAACCATGCTTCAAATCAACATTTTCTAATAGATGTGTGGGCTTTTCCCCCCCTATGATTAAAACTCGTTTTGTTAAACCTTCTTTTGCTCAAAAGAAATTGCTCCTTTGGTTAAATAATTAAGTGAACTGCAAAATTTACATTGAAATCAAATCAAAGAATTCTGAACAACATGTAAAACCTTGCATGCTCTGGTTTTGGTCAGTGTTTATGATTCAAAGATAAGAAAAAGATGTTAAAATAGCATGCATAGTGTGAGATTCAAGGCAAAAACAACCCCTTCTGATGTGCCAAGTAAAACATCTTGACGATCACTAATTCTGTTGACTGAATTGACCAGGAAGAAAATACTGCAAAGCATCCTTTCCATTTTATTTAGGTTAGATTTAACATTACAGAAAATAAACATCCCTACTGTGTGGCACAGTGGGGGAGTGGTTTGCATCATTGCCTCACAGCAAGATGGTTCTGGGTTTGAGTCCTGGGGGAACCCTGTGTCTGCGTGGGGGTTCTCCGGGTTCTCCGGCTTTCACCCAGAGTCCAAACACCTACATGTTAGGTTGATTGGACATTCCAAATTGCCCTTAAGAGTGAGTGTGTTTTGTTCATCCCTCCGATGGACTGGCGGACTGTCCAGGGTGTTCCCTTACCTATCATCCATTGACTGCTGGGATAGGCTCCAGTCCCACCAGTGACCCCATTAGGGAATAAGCGGTTACTATAATGGATGACATAGAACATCCCTACTTTTAAAGAAGGTGGGGGGGGCATTTGCTTTTTGAGCATCTTGCCATAAATAATAGAGCTATGCTGTTTCCACTTAAATACCTGCAAATGTTACTAAACAATTCTGCAAAGAGAAGCAGACCAAAGAAAAAAATTGTCAGAATGCAAATCTTTTGAGACCTTTATTATGTCTGTGCCTGATATAAAAAATTTTTTGACCATCTTTGGGCATAAAAAAGTAGTCTGTAAGCGCACAAAGACCTTAATATTAAGAGATCTGTCAGATGCAATGTGTGATCTGGTAAAGTTTACTGTCAGCAGAAGCTGTATTATCTTCATCATTTCTAAGCACATAATAATGCTTTCACAGACTGTCTGCTGTTTCTCACACATTGTCGTTCTAATCAAACACGCTGCGTGTAAATAGTGAGGTGTGACACCTTCCTCCATGCTTGTCAGTATCGCCTGTAAAGGTAATGTCATACTTAAAAAAGGGAATTCTGTCTTGCAAAATCTCATGGGCCACGTGTGTTGGTACCCTTGCTGCTTTGTTTGCAACCATCTTTTGCAATTGATACAGCACTTCATCTTTTCTCCCGTTTTTATAAGGTCTGAGCATACAGAGAGAGGGATCTTTGTCACTCACCCTAAAATCAACTTTTTGCTGATAGACAGTATAAGCTGGGCCCATAGTTGTTTTTTTTTTTTGTTACAATGCATTTTGTTTTACATTTCCATGTTTTTTAGTTCACAAATATTTGTCTCCAACCTATCTGAACAGTGGCTATTGCAGCTGAATTTTAATATTTGCTTAAACGTCGCTCATACAGGTTTTATCATCATAGCCCGACATTCTGCCGTTTTTATTGTTATTGTTTTTTTTTTTTTTTTAACAATGTTACCTTATTTGAAGTAGGTAAACAAAACATAAATGAATAATTTTAAATGTTGACTGATACCACAGGCTTACATTGTGATTTTTTTTTTCAATACCATCCAAAGGTTTGTAAGCAGACGTCAAGTCAATTAACTAATGAAAACACTTATTTAACATTTTTCTACATATATTTCCTTTTTAACAGTAAATGTCCCTTTCAGTAAGCGTTAGTTTCATTTATATTGACCCAGACTTTTAGTCAGAGCCACCTGAAAGAGTCCGGTTCACCCAGGATGGCTGATAACACCAGGTCTCAATGGGGCCGGCTTCGGTTTGCCATGCATGTTCAGATTCCTTTTAGCTTTCAGAAGGCATTATATGTTTTTCTTTAATAAATGGGTTCCAAGCCAGAATTTAACTTTCTTTAGATTTATACCCAGTTTTCTGATGTATAGCGTCCTAAGCTAAGCATCTTTATAACTGTGGCAAAAGTGCATAGAATTTCTGAGCAGAATGAGAAAGTTGAACAATAAATGATGAGACTCAAATTGGAAAAACAAAGAGCAGGTTTTGCACAACACTAAGCTGAATCTTGTTAATAAAACAAATACAATGTTTTTTCTTTTCTTTTTGCAGAACAAAAAATGGACAAATGCTCTGGTTTGTTAATTGTGATGTTCAGTTTGTCTATGTACAGTTAAGTATTGTCTCTGATTTCCACTATTGTACAGCTTCTTTAGGCTAAAGACAGAAAAAAAAAAAAAAATACAAGACAAAAACAAAGAAGTTATTTCTAGTTACATTTTGAGCTCTCATATTTCCATCACTGAAATATCAAAACTCAAAGTGTTATTTAAGAGGTGCTTGGTTATTAATGAGTTGGTCACAAAGCTATCATGGTAGGGATAAATAAAAAGAGAAATACTCCTCATTGCCATTCAGTGCTGTGTTAAAATGACCAGCATATGTATATCCTCTTTGTTTGTATGTTGTTGTCTTTGTAAATAACTGTGGTAAATCCTCTGTTTGCCCTTGAAAAACACAGACTGATAAGAAAAAGGCTGCAAATGGAGACGGTATTTTGTTACTTGTCCTTCTGGATTTGCATCATGTACATAATTTCAGTATATCGTAAAAAAGTGATCTAGAAAAACAAACAACAACAGCAATGAAAAAAAAACTGGGACTGGCATAATGTGTGTCATAAATATGTGTATGGCGGTTAAAATATGTTAAGTGTTTATTAAAATGTCACAAGCCATTTTTACTGCGCTAAGCCTGCGTCTGCTGCCATTATTTCATCAGCTGTCACTGTGGGTGTGTGTGTGTGTCTTAACTGAAGGCCTGCATTAGATTAGGGTGATGGTAAAGAGGCCTTCCCAAACCATTTTGATTAATTTCATATTAATATTTTCCATTAATCATGTAGAAGAATTTTTATACAAATATATAAATAAAAACAGATTTTGTGGCATTTTCAAAGTCAGAGCTCCTTAACCCTGATATATGTTTCCTAGATTCCTTTTTAGAGGCAATCATCTTAGACAAAGTGAACTCTAAATCCCCCACAGGTATAGATAAATATGAACTGAATTGGAGTTAGAAAGCTATATGGGGACATTTTTCTAAAGTGCCTTGAAAAAGAGGTTTCAGATCGCCAAAATGAATATCTGACTGACACCAAATTAAATCATTAAAATTATGATTTATTAAATCATGTCTTAATTGTCACTAACAACACTTTTTGGTTCAGTTTTACCCTGGTCCCATAACTGCCATGCCTGTAGGATTAAGAAATAACTCATAAAAGCTGCCTGACAGGTAGGTTTCTAACAAATCTAAAGAAATTCAGAAAATGTGAAAAAGAAACAGAGTTGTGTCCACTGTTACACAGGTGGTGTTCATGATTGCTTTTATTTTGGCTGTGATTGTTTTGCCTGTTGTAAAACAGAACTTAAACAAAAACCAAGTTTCATGTTTTTTTTTAAGAAAATGTTTTTCACCTGGCTTTCATCCACACTTGCAACTTGTTCTCCAATAGGTGTCAGCCAAGTGCCAAGCAACAGTTTGTCCTCAACTGCTTGTAAACTCAGCAGACCACCCATGTTTGCTTGTGTAAAAGTCCCAAAGTGTGAGGACTGCTTTAGAGGCTCGCTTTTATTTAGTAAAATCCTCCAGCTCCCGCTGCTAATGTGTCCTCTAAAGAAAACGAGTAATGATTTAAAGTATTTATGAAGCTACTTTGAAATTGGCATAATTATACTGTATATGTAGAGTATTATCTAAGGATTAAACATGAAGACATGAGGTGAAACTCTGCGAATGCCTGAATTTGTGTCATTAGTTTTTCCTCTTATTCCAAAAACAGTCTAGACTATAACTGTTGTAGCTTTTCACTTTTTTTTTCATAACTAGAAGTTTTCTGTGATGTCTTGATAACTACCTCAGTTATCTATTACTCTATATAAACTGTTAAAAGTTTGTGTGCGGGAGTGTGTGTGAGTTACTGATAGCGCAGTAGGCCTGGCCTTGCATCTAGAGCAGGGTGCAGAGCCACGTACAGGGCTGGACCACATTAGCCACCTTACAATCTTTATTCAGAGGAGCCTCCTCCCAGCACAACCTGCTCCTCAAACCGCCCGCCCTACCACCAACCCAACCACCCACCTCCTCCCTGCTCAGTTATTCACCATCTTTTCTCACTCATGCTGTATGCCATTCCCTCCCTCTCCCTTCTTACACTTCCTCAAAGTGGCCTGAGCTCCTTTCCTGTCCTCTCCACATCCTATCCACCTCAACAGACTTACTCATTTTGCCTAAAACCTACCCTCAGAATTTATCTTTTTTTTTTATTTTCTTTTTTTATACCTTTTTTGTATTGTATTTTTTTTTCCACATTATTTTTTGTGAGGAGCTTCCTTTTAGTGTACATCCCTGGAGTGTGCGAGGTCTCTGACTTGGTTCTTCAACAGTTTTTGGCAGGAGAAAAGTGCGTAGAAGAATTTCCCACCACAATGAAAGTTCAGCTGCTGCTCCTGCTGGCCCTGGCCGGCCCTCTCTGCTCTTTCACACGTGCAAGTAAGTCTACTTTTTATCACAGTCCTGCCGTTAGCACACTCTGTCCCCCCTGTGTGCCCCAGTCTCCATGTGCCCTGCATACACCACTCTTTGTCTGCTCCAACCTAAGCTGATCTAACAATAAGAATGGGATGAAATGGAAACGAACGGGGCTTGAATTGTAGCTTTATACTGACACACTGATGCTCATTTTTATATTTACATTTTATAATATTTACATTTATTTTTATTAAACAAAATTAACCCGAAAATGACATCTGGTACCTATTCTGTATTGCTAATTTTAACGTTTTTCTTTTGTTGCTAAGCAATAATTTCAGTGACAAATACAGTTGTTTCTTTTTGTTTAAGCCTCTCCTTCCTTTGTTATATTCCTGAGCTACATTCATGTTATCTTCTGCTGCTGCTGAGTCCAGACAACAGGAAGAGTTTGATTTTCTGCCACGAGAGGAAAGAAAATGATGTAATAGCGGGAGCTCAGCTGCCTCATGTCTGTAAACTCTTGGCACTGCTAAAGAGAAGAAAGGGAATATCCTTTGGAAGAGTCCCAAAGTAGTTTTCATACGCAAGCGGGAAAGGAGGAAGGCTAGGGGGGGGTGAACTGTAATGTACACTGCACATATGTCCCTAACGCTGCCCTCTCATACTTGAGCTTTTTTTTGTTTTTGTTGCTTTATATGTCAACTCAATCTCTTCCCTTTTAATAGGACTATCTCTCAATTTCTTAGGTTTTTTTTTCTTTGCCTTAAAGGCAAAGAAAAAAACCCATGAGAAATAGTCGGCATCAGACGCCTGAAGGAAGTGTAGGGTAGGGCCCCCTGGTTGCAGTATTAATAGTGGAAGCCTATATATTTCAGAGGGTCATGTTGAAGGGAGAGGGAGCAGGAGACGTGCCCCACCCGCCCTTGTATGTTGGTAAACTGTCTGACTCGTCGCCCCCTTGGCGTTTACCCATCTTTGGTGGGGTGTTAAGCTTTAGCTACTTAAAATCCCCCTTTCACGCCTCACCCCCTTGCTGTGGAACACCCCCTTTTCTCCTCAACCCTCTGAGCCTTATGAGTTTAACCTGGAAAGAAAAGAAAATTTAACTCTCCAAATGTATTTTAAAAAGGATATGGTACAAAAAAAAAATACAAAGTGGCTAACTTAACTAAGAAGCACTAGAATCCTGTAAAAGCTTACCTACCACACATTCCCTGCCCCTCTTCTCTCTTCTAATGAGTTCTGTCTGCCTCACTGGCCTTGAAACATCCTGATCACATCTGGCTACTGGAGGAAGAGGTCAGTTTAGTCGGATTCCCACTCTTAAAAGCGTCTCAGATGTGTCCTCATACTCCAAATATGAGACACACACACAAGTAACAGGGAAACATTAACGTATGACACATACATGGTATTTTAATTCCAGCTCAGTCTCACTTTGGGAAAGAAAAACTGCGCAGTCATGCTTAAAAAATTTCCACAGACAGAAACATCTGTTTTAGGAATAGGAGACAGAGGCTGTTTTAGTGCTGACGTCCTCAGTCTGCAGCAGCTTCTCTATGAAATGTGAAAGGAAATTAACAAAAGGTAGCAGAGTCAGAGAAACATACAAACCTCTAACCTCTGTAAGAACGTCATCAGGGGCCTGAAAAATGCACACAAAAGGCAAACTGATGACAAAGAAAGTATTACCTGGGTGTTTGCTTCATTCTATGCAATTAAACGTCAGGAAGATAAACAATAGTTCAAAAAGGTTTCTAAGAAAACATTTATATTCAAAAGCTTTATTTTTTATTCATTTGGTTTCTTTTCAGAATAAGAAGGGTGCGGTTTTCTAGATGTTCTGCAATCAAACCTGCAGGACATGAGAATAATGAGCAACTTGATTTGATGCCAGTTTCTGCCCTCGGTGATGAAGTCCAGATGGGACCTGCGCTCTGTCCTCTCTTTAGTCCGATAAAAAAGAAAAACAACAACTCTTTTGGGAGTTTGGAGCCTCATTGTGTTGAGTTGATAAGAGTGTGTCTGTCTTTTCCACTCTGGCCCCTGTGTTTAAAACCTCTAAACAGTATTGGGCGGCAGTATCTTCAGAGATGTCTCCTACTGGTTTTGTGGGGGAGTACTACCAGATAGGCCAAGTGTCTCTTTTCCTTCCCTCCTTCATTGCCATGAAAACATTTCTGGGCGCCAAAGGTGAACGCAGTCACACTCCCCTCACACCGTCTCTCCCTCCTGCACTGAGCTGTGAATTAACACGAACAAACATACATGGGGCCCTCGGAGGTAGCTGATTGTCTCAGAGGATGGTACTGTAGCGGCTACTCCCTTTGTTCTTGTCTCACTTTGTATGTTGTTGCATATCTGCTTCACTCCATAACTTCAAGTATAGGGATTTTTTTTTTAGTCAGAAAGCAAAGCTCTCCATCTTCATAAAACCCTTCTTGTCCGCCTTGTCTTCTCCGCTACTCAGCGAATGTTAGTAAGGCTTTAAATTAAAATGCTTTTTAATTTAATTTATTTTTTGTCATATTTACATAAATAATTATTTTTAGGTTTAGTTACACATACTTAAAATGTAACTAGGTATTAACCATTAAATACATAAATTCATAAGACTACAGGTTACCAATTGTGTTTATGTCCAAAAGATATTAATAAAAGTAAGTTTAACTTTAGATCTTGGCAGTCACACAGATGTTGAAAGGGAAGCAACATCTGTAATATATTTTAATGCCTGAGCGGGTTTTAAATCAGACCTTCACCACAGCATTGAGGAGAAATACGCCTTCCAGAATATTACGGTTCTTTTGTGTTTTCTGGGTTTTTGTTGATATGAGAGGACCAGTTTTTGCTAATACAGATTTATTTTCTAGCACTTTGCTGTCTAAGGAATTCAGTTTTAAGGAAAAATAATATTGATGAAGGAAAACCATCTTTTTTAGCTTTTCTGTATTTGGTATTTGATGATAGTGGCATTTCCCACCCTGCATATGTGAGAGCATTTCTTTTAAATCAAGGACAATATTAACGAGTTCACATCTTTAGATACTTCTACTGTCTTTCTAGCTGGCACAAATATATTTACTACAATCAATTTGTTAACTTGTGTCTTTCTGAGATTTTATTCATAAATTTAATCTTCAAGCCAGCTTCTTATGTAATGATATAGAAATCTGCTTCCTTTTAGCTTGTTACATAGTATTTTTTGTCTGCCAAGATGTTTAAGATTCTTTTCAGTGTTGCCAACGCTAAATGGGACTCTTGTTCCTGTTGTGTTTAAAGATCAGATTTGTGAGTTTACAACTTGCTGACAATGGTTTAGGCTGATGAAGCTGAAAAATGTTCTGACTGCCTCAATCAGCCAGTTTCCCTTTAAAAGCATGCAGCAGACCCAAAACGTCGGTATCTTGAGGAAAAGTTGTTAGCCAACTGCCTAATGCATCCATCTGTATTGGTGCTGTGGAGATAGCATAGAATTTTGATATACTACATGTATGTACTTATTTTCTATACTGTACTATACTGTACTATTGTCCAGTTTATTAAAGTTAAACAAAAAACATTAGAGAAGTTGCATTTTGCAGTTTAGCTCTTAACAATAAACTATCAGTTCTGCTTCCAGGCCATATTCCCCGTAAATGGCAGTTCAGCCAACCAGATCCTCGCCAGTTAATGATGCCATCCATCACACATCACCAAAGGCCATCTTTAACTCCTCCATTGAGTCACACGGACCCAACAATAATCAGAAAGCATGCAATCATTCTTGAAACCTAGGAAAGAGGGCATTTGCTAACATTTCAGGAGGCATGTTGTTTCAATACAGAATTGGAAGCCAGTGGGTGGCTTCCAATTCTGCATTAATGTTACCCACGTCAAATTGAGGTTTTTCAGGTTAAGGACTATTGTTTGTTGCACTTTTATATAGTTGTTGAACCTGACAAGACAGTTTTACCCAGTTATGCTTACAACCCATTGTTATATTCCTATAATAGAACCAAACTCTCCTTTATCAGGCTCCTCTGGTGCCAAACCCATATATTTATATGGGCTGAATTTATAAAGCACTTCTCTGGTTATACTCACCACTCAAAGCACTGTACACTATCACCTAGTCGCACCCTCAGATATGATTATTTAATCCTGTTTTGTAGTTGCAATGACCCGGATGACTGAGAATTGTTGCATGTTGCCCTTTGGTTTCTTTGGTTTAAAGAATGGACAAAGACTCTTGGATAGGTTTCGAAACATTTTCAGAAAAACTGAGCGGTGGTTCAGTTGTCTCCAATTTAAACCCTTTAGTAGTTTAAATCTGCGGACATTCATAAAACAACAAGACCTACAAATTTTAGATGAAAAGATGACTGCTCTTGAGTCACAGTTGCCCACTCAACAATGCCAGCATCATGGTTATGTTTAAACAGCTGACAAAATTAAAACATCCTTTTAATGGTTTACTCAGATGTGATGGTAATTATCCAAACCTATTCTCAGCGGTTTGCTACTAGGCGTGGACGTGCTCAGGATTAGACGTAACTGTCAGTATTATACCCTACATGTCTAAAAAGCAGAGAGCATTCAACATGACTTCATCTTCCCCAGCTACCTAGATTTGATTCACTAAGTACCCAAAAGAAGATCCCTCCCACCCCTGTGATTTCCTTTCCCCCTACCTTCTTATCTCCACCCTCCTGTCCAATGATTCAGCCCTTTCAAATATTTTTGGCACCAGAAAACCTATCCTCAGGGAGTGGCATGGTCACAGAGAGAGAGGGAGATGGAGTAGATTAAAAGGGGGAAAAAAGGAGAGGAGATGTAGGCTGCAACAGAGTTAGTCACAAATGCAGCTGCGTTATCCCAGAAAGGTTATTTTGGTGGGAAGGAAACACTACTCTGAGCTAATTGTGGGAACAGAGCACATAATGAAACAATTGTTAGAGGAGTTTAGGGGGGTGATTATACATAGTGCGTAGCCATACTCTGTGAAGCACAGACCATTTTATCATAATTTACAGACGGTACAAACAAACAGACTGAAGCCCCCCACCCTTTAGTGTACTGCTTCAGTGGGAACAAGCATGTTGTTATATTCGCCTGCCTGTTCCTTATAAAGCTGATGTAGGCCATTCAGGGCTATTCTGTTTTTTTTTTTTTTTTTCTTCTTTTTTTTTCTCATAATGAATTCCTCATTATCATCATCATCATCATTATAAATGTATTGAGCGATGAATGTAGTGGAAATGGGTGGATATTGATTCTGTGGGTTAAGTTTAGAAGATTCTTTTTAAGCTCACGGCAGAAAGAAAGTTTTGAGGGATAAGTTGGTTAAACCATATTTTTCCAGAAGAGAAGAAGGAATCTTTAAGCCAACTTTTTGTCAGTGGAAAGTAGATTACAGGCTGTAATTTTGGTGCCACTGTTGAAGGCTGGCTCCTTAATTTTCAAGTAGAGCTTTCCAGACTAAATTTTCAGTTGTGGCTGAAGGGATGTAGAACTTGGAAAGATTAAGCCAGCCCTATTGATGGGAAGTCATTAAGATGAAAATCAGGCCAGCTCATAGTCTTTATAAGGGATGTTAGTTGTCACAGTTTCAGCAAGACATATCGGCAGGACAAATAGCTTTTTAAGCTATGGAAATCCCCGCTATTACCTTAGATTTCATTATTATTAAAGGTTGGATAGAACTTGACGCTCAATGGTTTTGATATGAAATCTTTTTACATGATTGAATACTCAAATTAAAGTGTCATCCTTTTCAAAATCGGCCCAAATTAACTCTCTAATACATCCAATTTTGTTTTATGTGCAAGTACTCTTACATGTTACATCATAAGCCCGTATTTGCCTCAAAAGTTAGTGTCAACAACCATTCTCCAACCGCCCTGACACTTCTTCCACAGGAAGTGAAGCAGAGGATGTGGCATTTCCCTAAACAGAGAAAAGATGCAAACATAAAAGCAGGAAGAGGGGTGGATCAATGGAGGGAGGATGCACATTCTATGAGGTTGTTGGGTTTGGCATGCACACCACCTTTGTTAACTGTGCACTGATTTTGGGACGGTTATTACTTTTGGTGGCACCTTCTTCGGAGATCGTTGAACATCTTTGTTGAATGTCATTTTATTTTACCACCCATGTTTTATGTAAACAGTCCAAAGAGAGAGATGGAAATTAATCTGCCTGCTTCATTTACTTCTTGATTCTCTGTCTGGTGGTGATGCCGCAAGGTTACCATAACCAGATTTTATAATAAAGTGGTCTAGTTCTGTATTTTAAAGGCGGGTAATGTTCAAACATTACAAAAACACACATTTCAGCAACAACATTAAAAACTCATCCTGAAGCCAGCATGTGACCACAGTTTGGATTGAACCTTTCTGTCTGTATCTGCCAGCTTGTCTAATGCATGGGAAAAAGATGTGAGCATGAATCTTATTTGGAATCTTTTTTCTAATTTCTACCTCAGGCCCCACATCAGTCCCCACAGATGTCACGAAGGTAGGAGAAGACATCATCACTGGTCCTCCTCCAACCAGTCCACAGGCTGTTCCTGTCATTACTGGTGGATCTGTTGCACCCAAAGCTTTTACTGAGGTCACTACGGCAGCAGAAGATACAAAGCCTACAACTTCTCTATTAAAGATGGTTACTGTTGCCATAACTGAGGGAGCCTCTACTGAGAGCACGATTCTTTATACCCAATCAACTTTCCTTCCTGCCCAGGCAAGTTCACTGCCTCCCATTACTACTGCTGATCCCGCTCTAAAAACCACACCCTCTGTAGTGACAGACACCTTACCTTCGATTACCGAAACAACTTATTCTAACGCGCACAAGGAGGCGATAGATGGGACTGAAGAAAATGAGAGGATGGAAATTGAAGATGGGCAGGAAGGTGAGAAAAAAAAATCCCATTTAACAGCCTGTGATTTAATAAAAATTATAATGAAAAATATGTTTTATAGATCTAAAAGAAATGCCCGTTATCTTTCAGAGGGCCTGAGCAGTGGACATATCGTAGGAATTGTGATTGCTGCTATTGTGGCAGTGGTCATTGTCGGTGCTGTAATCCTTTCACTGTGGAGAAAGATGGGCAAATACTCGTAAGTATATCTTCCCTCTGTGACCATATGTAAACAGTGTTGTGTTGAACCATTATTACTATTTGTTGGAATGATAAACTTCAACTCATTTTAGGTGATGGACAGTCAGGAAGTAGGGTAGCACATAAATGCGAAGTGGAACAAGAAGGATGCTTGACTTTATAGTGGAGAGGGCAGGTCTTTTCAAAAAATCCGCAAAAATCCTTCATTGTACCTTTAAGATTAATAATGTCTGAAAGCACAAAAAAAATGTATATTGACAATTATTTCGCCAATATTTATTTAATAGATCATTGATAGCTAAACAAAAACATGATTAAATAGGATTATAAAAGTTTAATGAAAAGTTATGTGCAGTTTTTAATTAAATGGTTGTCCTGAAAAAGCCTATCTTAAATGTGGTATATTTGTTTAGGAGTAGTATTTGTGATTGTGGGACTATGGTTGTTGTCCCATAAGTGACAGCCAAATTATTACTTAAAAAAAAACTGCAAATAAGTAATGAATATTTTCTATCTTTACTTTATGTCTATCTCATTAATACCACAAAATACCATCAAATATTGCTCACTCTTCTTGCATTGGAGATAGAAACCATCGGTTTCTTCTGGATGCTTTCCAGAACTGTGGGGAATGTACGACTAATAGTTGTCTGAATAAACAGATTATACCAGAGCTGTCAATCCATACAGCTTCTCCACAGTTATTATTGGGTTTCTTGGTGAATTCTCTCATTGGTAGTTTTGTATTTGTGGCATCTATTTAAACTATTTGGATGCATACCATACAGTGTTTTATTGAATATTTACAAGTCAAAATATTGTTTTATACGGCAACTTTTTACAACTTTATCTCTGATCAGTGGGTGGCTTCCTTGGTCTTCACGATGCAGTAAAGTTCTCTAATAAACCTCTTAGGATTTTACAGAACTGTATTATTAACCACACAAAGTGGCTCTGAAATGGATATGAGAGTAATGAAGGTTGGATACAAGTAAAAGCCTTTTTTTATTACTAAATTGTTTTGTGTTTTACTCTCCCATAAAATAAAAAAAAGTTTGTTGTTTGTGGTTGGATCTTGACAAAATGGTTTAAATGGTCTGTATAACTGTCCTTTTATGTAAACTACACAGAGCTCTGAGAGCAGGAATTACTGATGCTACTGGGAATGTTGAAAAAAAAAAAAGTGCTCAGAGTCATCTCTTGCTTTCTCTAAAATGTTAAGCCATTACACAATCCCATTACATCATGTCCACTGATGTAATGGGGCTTGTTGGTTTGTGGTGATAAGTTGACACTGCCATAAATGGTCTAAGGTGTTGAACCTAATATATGAACAGTTTCCTCTAAATAACCGTTTCCACAGAATATGCCCTTCTTAATTAGAATGCCATAATGAAATATCATACTTGTTTTTGTGTGTGTATGAATGTATGTGAGTAACAGGTTTATCAGGAGCAGAAAATCTGTAAAAAAAAAAAAATCTTGTTTCCTTAAAGTTCTCCATTAGATTCTCTTGGCTAATGACCTAAACCCTACACCCGTTTTATTCTCATTGTAACAAAACATTCTGTCTCCCTGTAAATAAAAAAGCAACCCTGACACCCTGGTGAAAGCTGCTCCTTTAACTGACATGCAGTCCCATGCTTCTAGGTGTAAAAAAAATAAGTATTCATGGTGACAAGGGACTCTCTCTTGGCTCCAAATTACTCTGTTTATTGACTCAGTTTCAATCTACATGAGCAGTGGTCATCACGTTGGCAGGTTTTATAATGACAGCTTGACTTAATCCTGTGGAACAGAGGGTTTGTGTTTGCCAGGAGTGGAGCTAAGAGCTGGAATAAGCCATTTTTGTTTGTTATTTTCAGCTACTAATAGGACAGCTGTGTTTGATTTCTTACCGTTATACTAAAAAACTGATGTAAGATATACTTTAAGGGAGTAGACAAACTAAAAACATATGTTACACTTTGTTTGCTTTAAATTGTATTTTATTATTTGTATCTGCAGACAAGATATGTTCTTATGTATCTTTAAATTCACATTCCCATAAATAATAGACAATCACTGGTAAAGCAACTTTAAAATGAATTCAGCCTAATAAATTCAATTAAAACCACTTAATGGTTCTTGTTCTCTTCTTCTCTCTCCTACAGCCCTTGAGGAAAGAGTCCACCAAGCTACAGGAGCATGTAAAGTTCTGGGAATCCTAAACTACTGAACTGTGACTTTGAGTTTGATAATGGAAAAAAGTACAACGCCAGAACGAAACTAATCTAACCTGGACTCGAAATGATGTGGGTTTAGTATATATATATCTATATATATCTATATATAGATATATATATAGATATATATATATATATATATATACCACAGAAAAGAGTGGTGCACAAGCCAACATCTTTGTTTGCCCTGCTAACCTCCCTGAACTTAAGGAGCTACTGATGTTAGAAGCTCACTTTTCCTTTATTTTCCTGTAGTGAACAAAACAAGGGGACAAACAAATTGTGATGGTTTTTTGTGCTTTTTGTAGGTATTTAGTTGATCCAAGAGAAAAGAAACAATTATTTGATATCACGGGGAAAGCATGTATCTCCATTAAAGTGAAGTAACACAAAATTATTCAGCTTAAGAGAAAAGAGCATCTAAATGGAGTAGTGCGTACAAATACTGAAGGAAATGGGGAGTTAAAAGTAGAAAATACTTTTACACACCCCCAGGATGTTTGTATATATATATATATAAATATATAATGCATTGGAACTAGATAGGATAGAGCAAACAACTTTCTCATTTTCTTGCAGTTGCATAGGATAGCATTTGATTATATTCAAAATATGAACAGGCAATTATAGGACATTGTTTTACTGTGCTGTATAGGCCTCCTTGCAGAGTTCTTTTCAAAGTTTAGTTTGTCTCACTTAAATATTGCAATAAATTGCAATCGCTCCTTCATATCACTGCTGAGAATCTTTGTCCCACTGTTCAGAATTATTTTAATTCAGCAACATTGGAGTCAATATTCTGAAAAAAAAATATAGTTTAAAGTTAGGCTAATTGGATTTCAATAAAGACTTTGACTAAGCCTCTCTTCACTGGGGTGCGCTGAGATATGGACTATATTTCATGCATATGGCTTATATGCATGAAATCATTATTTTACTGTATAACATGGGCTGTTTGAGTTTAACACATTATCATTAATCTTTCCATCCGTTATGGCAAGTCATCTAGGTTCTGAAGTAACCAAGCAACATCAGACTGGGTTTTATGCAGCTACAGTATAACAGGAAAATCTTCTTCCAAAAAATAAAATACAAAGTTTTTTGTCAAAGTCTTGTAGATCATTGAAACATTTCTTTTGGCAGTTATTTTTGGTCGGCTGTGTTTTTTTCCCCCTTTTTTTTAACTGAGGCAATTGAAGGAGTGGTTTAGATGATGTTATTTGACCTCCTAAATGATGCGCTCTTTAATTATTCTTTGGTTTCTGGAAAGTTTCACCACTGCTCCTTGTTTTCTTTTAGCCTTCTAGAAGTCTGGTGGTGATCAGGTCTTGGTATTTCTAATCAAATTAACTTAAACTTTAAAAAAAAAACTGGTTGATTGGAGACAATTTATGATTTTATAGGAGAAGAGACATATTTTAGTTTTTCCCTTTAATAAATAAGATCATTCTAAGAAAACTACTCTCAGTAATGACCTGGATTGTTCTTATCTCACGTGTTCTATGATACGGTAATTGCAATATTTAAATATGACAAAAAAATAGAACTGAAGGAATGTGCAAGGGGCAAAAACTTTTAAGCAGCAGTGTTGTATACCAGGAGTTAGAACAGTTTCTAATGCAGCCAGAATACCGGACATGGCGGCCAACTGTATGAAGCACAGCGTGCAGACTTTGTTCCGACCATAGGCATGCTGTCTGAGGGTGAGCGGAGCAGAAACAGGAGCCCTCGTCTGCTGGAGTAACGTGACATTCTGCCCTCTTTAACACTGACACATTAAAACCTAATACATATCTGTGAAATTTAGCAGAAGGGTTTGTGCCACTGTTTCTGGTCATCTCTCTCTGGCTCAGAGGATTTAAAGGTTTTCAAGTGTGTTAGGAGTGTGACTTGACTGAAGTTTTTCAGCCAGCACCCGCTCCTTAAATATGTACTACAGGCTTTGGTGCTGTCATGGGTTGTTAGACGTAATAATAGTATTAGCGTATAAGGAGATTCATCTGTTTTTATGTTGCCAGAACAGCCGTCCAGTTATTTACTGCAGATTGCACACAGGATTACATTTCAAAGCTGCACTTAGATTTAGAGCTCAGTGTTAAGCAGGTATTTTGTTTTGTTTTTCCAACTGTAACTGTGCTAACTGTGTGTACAAATACTCTTATGTTACCCTACTTGCTTTTTAAAACGTGTTTATTATGTGCACTGAAAGAGGAGCGATGTTTAATGATTTAGATTTTAGACACTGCAAATGTTTGCAATGATATGTTTCTTCTGCTTTATTTTGTGCCATTTGTTTCGTGCAAAGGTTTTATTTAATTGCAGCATTTTCGTTCCTACCATTTCAATAAAAAAGAAAAAAAAAATCACTAAATTGCTCATCTCCTTCCATTTCTTTTATAAAGTGACCATGGCTACAACTAAGCTCTTTGTTGACCAGTACTGTACTCCCCCTTATATGCTTGTGACCGTTACAGTCTCATGACACTTCATTTTTATTTCCAGCCAAAGTATACAGATGTTAACAAGTGGCTCAAGGCTAAATCTTCCCTGTCTCTGATTGGCCAATTCAAGCTGTGCTTCAAATTGGAAAGGGGGGAAAGAAAACAAAACCAGTTTCAAACTGACTGACAAGCATCACCAAATATGGAGAGCAGTACTGCTTGGGATCGTTAAGTCAGTTGGTCCCTCTGACAGTTAGGTGTGCTTTTTGGGTCATGTTGTGGAGTTTTTCATAAGGTGCTGTTAAGCTACGGCAAACCTCCAGCAGTGGGCTGTGAGTTGCACAGAGATGCTCTATGTCTAGATCCCTGTCCTCCGTGTGGTTTTAGGCACCAACCCAACACCTCCCACCCCGCCCGCCAGCCTCTGCTTCACTGGCGAGCTTCATAATTCCCTTTAGCTCTCTTTCTGGGCTCATGCTGCAGGGAACAATGGAGTCTTTTGAGAGTGGGCAAACGGAGAGGCTCTATGAGCCATGGCTCGCTCTCTCCTCACTTCAGCAAAGGGGGGAAATTCTGTGCGTCCCTGCAGGGTGGAGTCACTTCCTGGGTGGGCCCTGCTTACATCATGTGCTTTTATATTCACACACACAGCATACAAAATGTCCTAATAAAGCTAAAAGTATTGCTCATGAAAAAGAACTATTAAGGATTTAAGTCATTCATTAGTAAAGAGTCTTAAAGCAGCTATTATAAAACACAAAGGGATGAACTTACAAAGATTCAAACCACATGGTCTTAACCTCAAAATTGTTTTTTTGTTTGTTTTTTTGTCATCTTTAATTATCACTAAGAACAAGCCAACACAACGGGACTTAACATGAGTCACTCCACAGTTTATCTTGCCTGTTTTACTCATCTGAAGTTGACGACAAACTGCGCAGACAGGAAATAAAGAGCCAACCCAGGCTTTACTAAACAGCTGGATCATTTTCCCCTGAATGTTGGAAGATTTGCCAGATGATTTTCTACTTTCTTCAGTTACTGTGTCACACAGAGCTAAGTAAATTGTCTTAAATGTCTTTGATGCCCCTTCAGAGAAAATAATCCAAACTGTAGAAGGGAAGCACAGATTCCACATCAATTGGAGAATAGATAAGATAATAAACGCAGTCATGTGGTAAATTAGGTTACAAACCTAAATTACAAAAAGATGTTTTAGAAAAAACTTAAATTGATTATCTCAAACTTTTCATATATTCAATACAAACACAGTGTTCTCTATGTTCAGTGCCACTAGAAGTAAAATATCATAATTTTCTGGGATTTTGCTGAATTATAAATGACTTTCTGTTCCTCTGAGTGATAAATATGCTGTGACACACTTAGCTACAGCCATCTAAACTTGTCTGGTCAAAACAATCCATTAAGCTCACCAGTAGGGAACTGCAGCTATGAATGGCATCTCGGGATGACCGGGTATTTATAACAACCATCTGATACCACGCCAACTGGTCGCATTCAAGAAAAGACCCTTTTTTAGTCCTACTATCATAACTGTAAATATCTAGGGTTATTTAAATGTTTGCTGATAACATTTGCTTTAGTCATATGACAGCCACTCCTGGTGGGTGGACTAACTAACAAATAACTATATGGTGGAGGATATGTGATGCTATGGGCTTTTTTCTCCTATATAATACAAAGCAATAAAGCCATATCAGTACAAAAGTGGTTCACCCAAGCTCAAAATAAAGCTTATTTCGTATCCATATCAATCCATAAATCGCATAGAACAAGAGAAGAGAACATAAGAGAGGAGAATCAAACAAAAGGAATATATATTTTAACTGTTAAGGTACTACTATAAAATATTATGAATGAGGGAAATGTGAATGAAGGTAATTTATTAACAAAAAGATTTTATTAGAGCAGTTGTGATCTTTTTCACATTAGCTAATATTTTTATATTTGAAAATGTGGAAAATGTTTCTTTTTTATCAGTTAATGTCTCTATATTTGTAACTGTTTACTTGTTATCCTGAGCTATCTCTATAGTTATGCTGCTTAGACTGCTGGAGGACATAGGGACCCCTTTTCATCATTCTACTTCATTGTATCTCTATTCTCCCATTCTGCTGAAATTGTT